GTTAAAATAACCATCTTATTGATAAAATTCATCGATACATTTATCAGGTGAAATAGCATCTTTACTTGTTTAGATATCGAATTTAATATCGTCTCGATGCGAAGGTTTGCAAATTCTATTAATTCCGTATCGATAGTTACAACTTTTGTTATAACGGTTGAGGTTTTTATTATAATTATGTAGGTAATGAATAACCTATGACGAGGTTGTAAATATAACGTAGAAAGTAACTTACAATGCAGGTTGTCATTATGATTGTTAAATGAAATCGATGATTTGAAATTAATATAGTATCTGTCAATAGAAATTAAGTAGATTAACATTTTTTAAAAAAAATCAATCCCTTAACTTTCGCAACTTATATCTCGATGAATTTTGAGGTTATCTTGATATTAAAATCTAGACTTTCTTTTGAATATTAATTTATTAAGATAGCCTCAAAATTCCTCGAGATATAAGTTGTGAAAATTAAGAGATTAATTTTTTTAAAATGTTAATCTTCTTGATTTCTATTGACGGCAGCCGATATGTGTCGCGCCTCTTGCATCAGATGTCGATCGGCCTAAGTTAGGATATGAATTAGGGTAAGGAATAGCGTATAATTTAGGCCAATAAATGTCGATCAGTTAATGCTGGTCAAAAAAATCGACATCGTAGGCAAACCTTTATTCAAATTCATTAATATCACAGATTGCTTCCTGACACTTTCTAATTTCTTCAATAGAAATATTATTATTAGAGATGATTTCATTTGCTGTTACGCGTTCAAGCGACTTTTGGTTAATATGACTAATGAATTTGCTAGTATAAATTGTACTATCTTCTATATTGTTAAAGTCATTATTTTCGAACACCATTTCTTTATCAGATTTTAAAAATTCAGTTAAAATTTCGGTATTGTTTTTCCATTTTGAAATAATTTCATGAATTTCCATAGCTGACGGTCGGTTTTCTGGATCTTTATCCCAACACTTCTTCAAAAGATTTACATAGCACGGTGCTGTACCTTTAATAATAGTTGGTCTTAAACCTTCACAAATTTCTAGTGCCAATCTTAAATTGTCATCTTTATAGTCGGAAAATACAAAATTTCCTGAAGAAATCTCCCACATAATCATTCCGAAAGAATAAATATCTGATGTGGTTTTCCTTGCAAAACTTCTGGTGCTATATATGGTAAAGCTCCGTAAATTCCTCTCGATTCTTTATCTAATGTTTTATTAATCGATATTGATCCCAAATCACCGATATAAGCATTATGTAAATTATTTTGAAATATATTGCCACTATGTAGATCACAATGAATAATGTTATTCGAATGAATTAATTGAAGATCGAATGCGATATAAGATAATAATTCTAATTTTTTCTCCCATTTCATTTGTGCAACTTCGTAAAGATTCTCACGTAAAGATCCCATTTCTGCATATTGCATAACTAAAATATAATCATCTGTACCTTCATCTTTTGATATTTCATAGCATTGTAAAAATGTAGGATTTTTAGATCCAATATTTGAATACGCAATTAACTTTAAAATTAAAAAAAAAAGATATCAATGAATAGTAACTAAATAAAACTTTAACATATCAAATATTTACCTCTTTTACAAGTTCTTCGTAACTATTTTTGATCCATGAAATAATTTAAGTGCAACTATTTGGCCTAAAGGTTCACCATTTGGGCCTCTGCGATTCCAATAAGCAGAATACACAGTCGCAAATCCACCTTTTCCAATTTTTTTACCAAATTCTAAATCATTAAATGGAATCCATGAAATTAATAAATTATTGCCAGATAATAATTTTTTTAATGAATCATCAAGATTTTCAGAATCAACTATTCTTTGAAAATTATTGCTTTTCGCCTTTTGCAACCATTCAATAGCTTTTTCTTGATTAGACGGTGTTCCATAACCATTTCGATAACACAATCCAACTTGGTATTGTCCATTGTAATTGCCATTTTCAGCTGATCTTAAATACCACTCAAATGCCTTTTTTTCATCCTTAGGTATGCCCATGCCATCCTCATAACACACCGCGAGATTATATTGACCATTCGAATTGCCACCTTCTGCAGATTTCAAATACCACTCAAATGCCTTTTTTTCATCATTGTCTGTACCTAAACCTTTTTGATAGCACCACCCAAGACTGTTTTGTCCGTTCGAACTACCACCTTCAGCAGATTTCAAATACCACTCAAATGCCTTTTTTTCATCCTTGTCTGTGCCTATGCCATTTCTGTAGCAGAATCCAACATTATATTAATATATGCATTTGAATATTGATTGATATTTAGGGAGAATCTGAACTATTCGCCCGCGTGAAATTATTTCACGCCGACTAAATTTTCGGGCCTTAACGTTAAAAGTGCGAAACTGCTATATGTTTTATGAAATTATTTTCCATTATATAACGAAATACAGTTATTCAGATTTTGGAAAAGTGGTTCAACCTGAAACATTAATTTGCATAAGTCTGTAGCTTATTCGCAATAATCACGTGTTTGAAAATTTTTTGTAAGTGAACTAGTCATAATGTCTGCAATTTTTTTCCGCATACGTCGTACCTGATACGTTTTGGATATCATAACGATAATGCACAAAATGATGGACATAAAAGTTAATTAGATTATCTGCAATAAATAATGAGTCATTATGATTAAAAACTGTAAAAAATGTAACGGCAATGTGTCATACGTACTACGTTACGTCAAATTAATGTCAAAGATTAGTTGAGTTTATGTATAATGATTTTAATAATTAAAATACCAATTTTAAACAGAAACCAATCTCACACGAACTTTTAATTAATACAAATTAAAAAATCTCTTTACAATTAATAAATATGTAAATATGTAAATATTTAGTTCAATTGAATCAAGAATCATTTTCGTATTTGAGTCATATGATATGATTCTGCATTTATAGAGTCATGTAAAATTACTTTATTCATACATATGGCTCAAGTGACAAGGTGGCATAAAGTCACAATTTGCCGATTACAATGGATAATGATTTTGCCGTTTATAAAAAAAAAAAAAAAAAAGAATATTCGAATCATTTGAATTATGCGAAATTAATAATTTGTCCAACTAAAATAGATACAGCATCAATAGATAACGAAAATCAAGATATGTTTTAAATTGAAACATAACAGTTTCGGTAATTCAAACAAATCCGGTTCATATCAAGTTTAGACGTGAGCCTTAGCTAGTTCAGGTTTATCTTAAATTGAATAGAACCGTAATCAATGCTTCAGTTATGGTTAGTCAAATTATAACAATAATAAACAGAATAAATAGAATAAACAGAAAACAACCCGAATTACAGTACGCTTTTATTATTTAAAAATTAAAATAATTTTATGTAGAGCAACTTATTAGATATGTTGACTGGAAGACCGTATACTGATATCTTACGTAATTCGAAAGATAGAGCGCCATCTCTCCTTACACAGGATTAACGTTAGAGATATAAATTAAGTACTGTATAACCGGTAAAACGGTTTTAAATTATGCACTACCTTCCATTTTGCATAAATTAGTATAGGTCACATTATACAGTAATTATATAAAAAGTAAAATCAGCCTAATCTTTTCTGAAGGAGATTAGGTTTGAGTTGAATTCGATTAAACCATTGTTCAAAATAGCGGCTTAGCATAATAAACAAACGAAATATTTAAACGTTATTCAAAAAAATAATGCAGACCTCAGATTCGGAAATTAAACATTAATTTATTAATTCTCCGTAAATGGCTATTCATACATGACAATGGCTAATCTACGTACAATGGGCAATTCAAATAAGTAAATAAAATAAAAATATTGGAATATTCACATGAAATAGATTATCGAAGATTTTCAGTATTGATACTTCTCTGTTGTTTGATGATGCTTCATCACAGATTCGCGGAGGATATTCCTTTCTTTAAAACAATATACAGTAGGCCACACGATTTTCATATGAGAGTAAGGCATATCTAAATAAAAAGTTTTCTTCAAGCATTAAAAAAATGACGACTAAAGATAGTATCATAATTGAAAATTGAAAACCACTTACACTCTCGTTGAGAACCACTCCAATTCTCGACGTTGAGGACAAATGTATTAGTCAAGTAGGCAGCGAAAATAAAGTTTCCGTGAAGTAAATTTAAAATTTACCAAAATTGGTTTTCTGTTTCAACGAATTTACCACACAGAAGTTCAACCTCATTAAGTACTTCACACTAAAGTATTATCTGTACACTCGGCATACGTAATTGTGCTGTAACATTCCTAAAACAATGCATTATAAATTAATTAGTATAACGTCTTTAATCTGAAAGTTGTGCAATACTGTAACAGATTTCTTACTCTGTTGACCTTTGTAGTGATACTTCTTCCTCGTATTTCTTTGGTTCTACATTACAGTTGTGAAAGAGATGAAAATTATTACGTAAAATAATAATAATAATAATAATAATAATAAAATAAAAATAATTCATGCAATTATCTCAGACTATAATGTGTTTGTTTTTAACCATAATAGGTTGCCGCTGCGATCGTAGTGATAAACTGTCTCTCATTAAATTAAGCATAAAGTTTAAATGCTAAAATATCTATTTTATTATTTTAATTAATCATATTACAAACTTGGTTCTTATAAATTACATGTAAAAAGAGATATATATGTGATGTTAAAAAAGATTAGACAACATCAAATTTTACACAAAATAGAAATATGAGCAAAAAAAAAACCAAACATATGCAATATGTAGGAAAATAAAAATATACCGAATAAAGAAAATTCCACCAAGAAAAATAAGATTAAATACTGTACTGTATGCACAAGAGAAATCTATAGTGCATGACATATAATTAATGTATCATGAAAAATAATGTAATATAAAAAAAGAAAACCAGAAAAAAAAAGTTAATAACTCTATAATATCCATAATGTCCATACAGTATATATCATATTTTTCTATATTAAGAGAAAGCAGGTTATTCTTAATTATTCATTTTTTTGGAGTTTAGAAATCATATCGTTGATTAGTTGGTCTTGAAGTGGTTTGACTGGGGGAAATTCCTCACCAAGAAAAAGAAAAGAGGCATAGCTATCATCTCTTGTAGTATTTGCAAAATTAGCAGAGTCATAATAAGATAAATATCGAGAAGAGTATGTTTGAGAAGTTTGAGAAGTTTGACTATTAGTGTTATTACTCGTTCCAGCATTTCTATCAGAAGAGCTAGTAGTGCTTGTTTTTTTAGAGGAAGTATTAACATTCCTTCCATTAATAATAGAAGTGGTCTTGTTTGAAGACATGTTTTTTTTTACGTTTTTTAGGTATTTATTTAAAATGATTTTTTTCTTTTTTATTTTTTTTCGATTTTACAATTTTGAGAAAAGAAAAAGGGGGAAATACTATTTACTCATTGAACACAGATATATTATTAGTCATCTTTGTTCACGTGAACCTTTCTTATAAAAATAACCTTATAAAAAAGAATAATTTTGTACATTGACCCTCAACAAACATTAGGTGCTGCGTATAACCTAGGTCCCGGGTCTAAAATCTGGGTATATTGTACAGAATTTCTGTTTCGAAAGGAAAAATTTTAAGCGCATACACACTTTTCGTTTATGATAAGGCAGTTTAAAATTTTAAAAAAGCTCACATATTCACGTGTTTGTGATAATAAAAAATACAAATTCTTTCGTCGAATAAAAGAACAACGAAGGATATTATTGTATACTTCCTATTTGAATATCTTGCCACCTTCATTTATGTTATTGGTCACTTCAAATACGTGATACGCTTACCTCCTATTGGAGGTGAGTGTGTATTCCATATAAGAAAATGACCCAACAAAAGGTGCAAAAATGGTATGTTGGAAATATACAATAAACAAAGGGTCATGTGATATCTGATATATATACAGTGAATGCTACGTCATAACGTTTGCAAAGAGCCACCGTTATATCTCAGCATTCTAGTAAATCATAACAAATAACAAGTATTAGTAGACGTAGTAGTAAAAATAATTTATTTTGTAAAGCGAATTAAAAAGAAAAGGAGTGCTATAGAAGTAACTTATACTCCAAAGTATTTGATGCTAATCATCAACGCTGTTTACGCTATCGCTTTGCAGATCATGTAGAATTCTTTCTGAAAGAAAGGAATTTGTCACTGATAAGCAAGCACGGATAGTGGCGAACTGCCGCGTAAATAACTATTGATATTTAAACAAAACATTTTGGAGTTTACGCAATAAGATGCTTTGAAATTTGGAAAAATAATTGGTTTATATAATTTACTAACGAAATTTGTTTGTTATTTAGTTGTTTATGTTGTAAGGCCTTAGTTATACATTTTTGTTCTTAAAAAAAGGCACTATCCAATTTAAAGGAATAGGAATTAGAAATCATAAAATCGTAAAAACGGCATGATTTAATGAAATAAAGAAGTATTTATACTCTTATTCGTTTTTACTTTAACTTTTTAAAAACGCGAAAAAATAAGCCAATTATGACTGTGGATAAATAGAACAGCTTCTTTGTTTACAGAGTTCTCTGTTAATTTACCCAAAATTAGAAGTTCATAAATTTGTAATATTTTGTGATAAGGTTAATTTTACACATTTATTAATAATAGATTCGCAAATTCTGATTTATTAATTATGAGCATCTATCATTGCCAAATCTCTTTCACATAAATTGTACAAAATTTTGTGCAACTGAATAAAAATTCCATCCACCAATAAAATTCAAGAAGAAAGAATGAAACAGTCTTTATCGTTATGTTGTGAAAATCATTAAGATAGTGTGAAACCGTTTTTTTTTAGATACCTTTGACTCAGATTTCACTCTATCATAAACTAATTATAAAAATAAAGTAAACAAAAGAAAAAAAAGGAAAAAATATAAAAAAAAAAAAAGATTTAAACAAAAAAATAAAATTATTTTGGATTATTTTGTTCAAATTTACAGTAGTACGCAAACTTAATCTAAATGGTTTGAATTTTACTTTCGCGAAAAATAGTATGATTGGCAAGACATTCATAAAGTTTAAAACAATATATGTATTCAAGTATTTATTTTACTATATGACTGACAGTAGTTGACAATATAATTGACAATTGAAAGTTCAAATAATTGATTTTTAAACACACTAATAATATTAATCGTAAAATACAGTACAAGAATTTTTTTTTTTGTTTATTTAAAAGCATATGTATAAAGCGGGTGACCAAAAGTTCAGGAACAACTTTTAACGTACTAATCATTGAAGAAATAGAAATTGAATTAAAACAATCCGACATAAATGAACATCTTAATCTTAATTTCAATAGAAAATTTCCATGGAAGAATGCAAGCCATACTTTATTTATTTTACTATATACGTACGTATAGTGAATTAAATTAAGAACGTGTGGAATTCTATTTATGTACGTATGTACACATCTTTAAATTGATAAATAAACACCAAATGAAAATATAATATTGGAATATTGTCGCTCCTGTAAATATCGAGGATATTAAACGTGAGATAATGAGTGGTAAAATCGGTAACAATAATTTGTATTTTATATTGTAGAACAAACAAAGTTGGAACCGTTCTTATATAGTTCAAGGGAATTATGTAATACATCGTATATAATTTTATTTGTATACTGTATACATTTTATGCCATGACTTTTAATTTAAACAAAATTAACGTTAATGATTCAAGGAGGTATGTTTAAACCCCTGTATAACGATAAGTTTATTAAAGTACTGAAGTACGGAGTTTTAAATCATGTGGTTAACTTAATTTTTAAGTAAGCTATATCGATATGATACTTTTTTTTTTTTTTAATTTATTATGTGCATTAATTGTTAGAACTAAATTTATTTCCTCAATTTCATCAACACAAATTACATAATAACAGATAATGGCGAAATTATTTTCGCTTTAATTTAATTTCACCAACATCTTCTAGTTAGAGCGCATTTCCTAAACAAAGTATTTTCAGTTTTCTCAACTTTTAGTTGAATTTTTAAATTAACTTTTATAGAAAAGTGGTCGTCGAGATACAGTAACAGTTATTGTTAAATTGACTTGCCCCAACGGCAGTCATGAATCTGTTTATAGCATCAGTCTCAGAAAATGTAATTGTTAGAAGGGAATAAGTTATTATTTAAGGTGACGGATTTTTTGTTTTTTTTCGTCCCATCTCTCGGAAATAACCTGTTAGGACGACAATCATGTTAATGAGACAGCAATGGAAAGAAATTATGCTTGCCAGGGCTGCATTCTATAATTATGCTTCACTGTTATATTTGAATAATTCCTCTGAGAGACAAAAACGCGTTACTTCAAGTATAGCTGTTAGACGAAACCTCGAGGTTTCGCGCTGACGAAACGTGAAACCTAGTTTCGTCTTTCGTCAATTAAAATCTTAAATGACGAAATGACGAAACTGACGAAACTGCAGAGGGCGACACAACTAATAGAAGACGAAGATACTGATTAATGTTGTTGAAACTCATTGAAGATGTGAACAAACAAAATCAGAATTTATAAAAATTACAAAAAATTTATTGTATAATATGCGCTTGAGTTGTTTAAATGAGTTTTCTATATTGTATTATACTAGTCACTACATATCAGTTCTAGCTTGGCGCTTACTTTGTGTTCTTACAAATTTATTTGTGTCAGTATGGTTTATTTATGTTATTCCCTGCTTACATGTAATTTCGGATACTGATCTCTGAATAAATCATGAATTTTTATTCAATGAAAATAACTTTTTTTTAGCAGGAGCACTAGGACTTCGTCTTTTTGAGTATAGGTTTCGTCATTTTAAGTTTAAGGTTTCGTCTTTCGTCATCACGCGAAAAAGGTTTCGTCTAACAACTACTGTATAACTTCAAGTCCCTGTATTCCAAATACGCACATAAGGTATAGTCTTATTGCTTTAATCTTCAAAAAAAAAATTTTTTTAGACACAAAGGATTACTATCTTATTGGGTTTACTTTAAATTTGAATCCATATACTCAATTTTCTTTATTCTTAAAAATAAACTTGTTGATTTAAAGTCAATTTATGAGTATAGTAGCATTTTGTGTTTAAAAATTTTTTGAGATTTAAAGGATTTGCAACGGACCATAAAATATGTGCGCGTTATTTTGGAACGCGCATGGCCATTATTTGAAAATTAAATACTGTATATGCTATTTGCTAATAATACCACGATTATACAATAAAAATATTAAGTATAAAGTAGTTGTAGTTTAACAGTTCTAAAAATAAGCACCTCTGGTCCACATTATGCCAATTTTAACAACTTTTAGAACCATAAGCATTATATATTTTATGAATAAATTTATGATATAAAAAAATATATATATAGAATTCTGGTTGTTGATTTTTTTTTTTTTTATCTTACATGAGTACTGTAGAAGCAATAATAACGGGGCTCATTGTATTTAAAAAAAAACAATTATGCACTAATGTTTTGCGCTCAAATTCTAGAGGCCGTACATGGATGTTTTTAAAACGTGAATAAAATAATAAAACAACGGTATCTTCTCAATACAAAAAAATACACAAGAACCCACCTATTAATAAAGTCCTGCGATTCTCCAAAATGTTATAAAAAAAATATTACCATTAACCCTAAGACAAATATCTAGAATACACGCGTTTTTTTCAAATGACACGTAATTAGGATGCACTGGAAATCCTGTTACACAAACAACAATACCAATTTCCTTTTCTGTTATAAAAAAATTACTCACAGGCGTAAGGTAAACAATTTGATTAATGTTACGCGTAACGTAATACTTGCCAAAAGGCTTCTTTACGGAATAAATTTAATGCATTGAATTACCCAAAAATCGAAAACTTTTGAAACTTTTCGTACGATTAATAATAAATTAATAATTCAATCCGACATCTATTAAAAATTTTATAAGATTTGCTTACAACAATAATACATATACAATGAATTTTATTATTGTCTTAACAGAAAAAAAAAAAACGCTTAAATTGTGAAATAAATAAATCTAATTTGTTCAAGTTTATTTTTACAAAAACTCGGAAGGTCGTCCTCCAGTACCACCAGCTTCGTCATAAACAAGTCCAGCAACTTTAAATGCTAGCGCATCACAATCTTCACGTGTAGATGCTTCAGCATAAACACGTACTACATCTTCAGTTCCAGACGGCCTTTTCAAATTATTAAATAATAAATGTTAGACAAATTTAATTTGAAAGGTACTTAATGTAAATATCTTTAAATAAATATATACCTAACAAAAGACCGACCATCCTTATATTGTGCAACCAATTTATCGATTTTTTCTTGAAGTCCTTTAGGCTCGACAAGTGTTCGTTCAGCATTAGTGGTTTTAAAGATATTTCTATTTTCGACCTATTAAACCAACAATTTATTTGAATTAAGCAGTTTTTTTTTTTATAGGATATAAAAATTCTTTTTGAAATTAATTAGATCTTACCACAACTTTTACCAGGCGATTTGGCTTATCAGTATAAACTGAATTCCATTTTTTAAATGTCCATTGTCGATTAATTAAAATTGATTCTACCAATAATAAATCTGATAATGCATCTCCAACTGTTTGATTAATTAATTCAGTTAATGCTTGTAACTTTTTAATAGCCTTTTCTTGTTCTGTAGTTCGACTATATTTATAAACAAGAAATATGTTAATGAATAATTGTCTAAAAATTTTTGAAAAAAAAAAAAATTAATATAAATACCTTCCATCTGAATTAATTTTATTCAATGCATTGGAACTAAATAAAACCGTTCCATGCCCATTTGCTTCAAAATAAACACCAATATCATATTCTTGAGCTTTATGATGAAGATGCTTAACACCCGTGGGCACGCAAGAAACAGGAACTTTCTAAATATAACAAAAATAAATAAAGATTATATAAATAAAGATTATATAAATAAAGATAATATAGATAATTAAATATTATAACTTATATCTTGTAAATACATACCAACTCTCTCTCTAAGTAAGCAGTAGAACTTCCATTTGCATAGGCAGTTTGAACTACACCCACACTGATATCTAGACAGGCGGTCTTAACAAGTTCGATAATAAATCCGGCAGACAATGCTGCAATCTTGTCTCCATCTAATAATCTAAATGTACCATCTTAAAAGGACATAATAATCAATATATAAAATTTTAAAATAAGCAAAATATGAAAGCAAATGTAATTAACCTTCTTCAACATAATAAAAAACGATACGGTCTGCGTCACCATCCAAGGAAGCAGCGCGTTGTTCACAGGTAAGATTTAATGCAAGTGGAAGTTTTTGTCCCGTCTTTACATAATCGGCACCACACTTTTTATTATAGGAGATTAATTTGACGTTAATTCAAATAAAATTATATAAAATATATAAAAATAGAAAAATAATAAGTTATATAATATTACTTGAAAGTTTAGCTTTCCTCGAGTATTAATATCATCATTAATGATTGTAACTTTAAAAATATTATCATTAAGCTTATCAATCCACTCTAAGAGATCTCTAAGTTTGGGTGCACCAACTCCATTCGCTGCATCTACATAGATGTTGGAAAGACGTTGATTGTCTCCCTAGAATTTGAATAATTTTTATCGCATATTGTCTATAAGTTTATAATTAATTTTATAATTAATGGCATAAGATATTATAACATACCACAGCTTTATGAAAAGCTTTTGAGAATTTTTCGTAATAAACTTTATCTGCAAGCTCATCATAACTGCCTTCTGTTGGTTTTTCACAATAATTTAAATAATATGTAAAGTAATGAAGTTGTGGTGTAGTTTTAATGCCCAAATTTACTCCCACGGCACTAATTGCTTTAATTCCGTCTTCAAGTGCTGCTATTAATTTTGGTCCACTTGGCCTAATCATAAAAATATTAATAAAGGGGACTTTTTTTTTTTCAAAAAAATTTTAAAAATTACTATACCTGGTATCTCTTGCATAAACGACGGAAGCCTTTTTTGATTCATCAATCCCATTTTGCGAAACAACAGATTTGATAACATTGATCAATTCATCATCACTTTGAGCATTCGCTAATTGAGTAGCATAACTTTCCCACTGTTGTTCCAACATTTCTCCACTTGGATCCACAAGTTTAACACCATTATCCTGAAAAAAATGAATGAAAATTGTAATTATTGTCATAAAATTACGTAATGGTTTTTCTGATGAAACAGAAAAATAATCTTACTGCTTCAGGATTATGAGATGCCGTGACCATTATACCGATAACTTTGGAATCTAATTTTCTGGAACGTAAGCCCGCTAAAATTCCTACTCGGAAAATCACCGATTCCAAATAATCGGCTCTAAAAAATTTTATTAATATTAATATTTACTTAATAAACTTAATCATTGATCTAAATAAAAAACCAATTTAACGAATTTTTTAAAAAGGGGGAAAAAAAATAAAAAACAAACTTCATCCGAAATCCAGCAGTTCCATAAGTATAATTGATTTCTTTGAGTTTTGGATATTTTGCAGATAATTCTTTAATTTTATCACAATCAATAGTTTGCGCCATTTTTGATAATTTTATTTTTACGAGAATTGGTATTTGATTTAAGAAGAAAAAAGATAACTGTAAAAAGATCGTTACACTAAAAAATTATCATAAATTTATACTTGTTACATTGTGTGATCTAACTGCATCAAATGTCTCACTACCTCTGTTTCTTGCGTATGTACGTACGTACGTACGTAGGTAGGTACTTCTATGCGTACGTACTGAAAGTTAACGTATCTGCTTTTAGATCAGAAATTTTAATTGCATAAACATATACCTAAACGTATCGTGGCTATATAGCCATAATAGGTTATTCGCTCGGGAGAATTCAATAAGCGAAAAGCATTCGTAATATTTTTGGATTACCTTCTATAATTATATAATCGAAAAACATATAGTATGAAACTAATTATGATAAAATCAGGAAATAAAAAAATCTCTTCGTAACGTTAAAATTCCTAAAATTGTTAAAATCTAAGGGACGAAGAATTATAAAAAAGTTGAGCGACTAATAAATCATTTTGAAAAAGCTTAGCGTTAGAGTTTAATTTACTTGATTAGTTATGATACTTCTACGTAATTCCAAAATTATGCACCCCCTTAAGGCTGACCCAAAATTGGCTAGGGGTGCTTATCGCTACTATTTTTTGGTTAATCACCAGTCAAGTAAATACATACAGTACATACCGATACTGAATCTTGACTGATCATATTTCCCCTGACACAGATGTATCTAATGCTACTAGTGGAATAATATAACGAAGGGATGCAAGCAAATGGCATTTCGGTTTTCTGTGCCAGGCTATGTCGATCATGCGGTGTAACATATAAAGTAACACGAAATTAACCAATAAAATTTGAGACCTTCAAAAGGCACTAAATGAACTTCTACCACTTAGTTGAACATATCTCGATTTCGTTTAATATCAACAATATCGACATATTATAATTGATCTATGTTATAAAGTCGACTTTCCTGTACACTGCATCTTTAGTTACTATTATTTATATCTTTATTTGCGCATAACATTAAAGAAAAGAATTATATTTATTTATTTGATCTACTAATTCTTCAAATTCTTTAACATTAATCAAACTTGCCTAATAATTATGCAACAAACCATGAATTTATATGATAGAAAAAAAGCTGTTATTCTATGAGATTTTATTTATTTGCTAAAAATTACTTTAAATAACTTATTTTATTTTCGTAAGGAAAAATTTCCTTAGTTCTTTAAATCATCTTTAATGTTACTTTTATTATTACAAATAAATTATAGCCAACTCTTTCTAACGAACTAATGTACTGAAAAACAAGTTCATTATAGAGAGGTTAATCATACTGTATAGAGTCAACCATATATAAATAAATGTATTACTAAGTTTTTAGTTTTTTAAAAAAAATTTTTTTTTTATTAAATAAAATACACAATCTATTAAATAAATTTTTTTGTTTAAAAAAAAGTTTTTATATTAACATATTCGTCAAAAAATTTATAGTATTTCAAATTACAAACAATATAAATACGTAAGTCTAATTATTCAAAATCCAAGGACAAACTCTAAAAAATAATCGGTCAAATTAAAAATTGTTATCCGTAAAACTTATAAATATGAAAAAAAAGTTAAGATATCCAATAAATGAACTAATTTAACGATAATATCGAAATGTATTAAATTTGCTTTGCTGATTTTCACTCTCAAAATAACGAATGTAAAACAATCAACAACTCTACATTATCATAAAATTATAAAATCGAATAAATACATTTAAAGCTTGTTTAAAATCATATTGCGTATGTATAAAAATGTGTACTAATTTTAAAGTGTCTCATTATTTTATTGGTTTCGATAAAATCACACACAGCTTAAAACTTGACTTAGTTGAAAATTTAAAGTATGAATCTATTTAAATTTAGCATTTAGTAAAATTTATTGAACTAAAACATGTAAAATCTAAATTTTACTTGTTAGTTTAATATATTACTTAAAATATTTTTACTTAATCTATGCTCCTTTTTACCTGTCTTTCTTACTTTCTATTTAGGAATATTATGTGAATTATTCTCTTTCATAACTTTTGAATACTTTCATTTAACACTTGCACTTTTAGTTTTTTTTTACTTTACAGATTCAACTTGAACAGGGATCTTTTTGACACCTTTAATGCATGCCAAAGGTTTGAATTACATTTGATATTGTAAAGAAAAGAAGTCAACTGAGGAACTGATTTTGATTTAGCAGCTTCATAGTATACTGAGAATTTATCCAATGCTGTGCATAATTGAAGATCCTGTTTCTCATAATCAATCCTGATTTCTTCTAAAAAATTAGTAAAGGAATTATCTGCTTGCTGCTCTGATTTTTTGAGTAAGTTATTGAGGTGGTGTTCCAGTTCTTCAATTTCAAATAAATTATTGACTTGATGTTCTAAATTTTTCAATTCTTCAATTTCAGGTGAATTACTAGTTTGGTATATTGATTTTTCAATTTTCAATAAATTATTTAGTTGAAATTCTGATTCTTTATGTAAACAATTTTGAATCCATATTAACAAAATGCTTCAAACTATATAATTTTATGCCCAAATCTATTTTTAGATAAAATTAAAGTTTGGCTACAAAATATATAGTACTGAAAAGTTTTATTAACAAAGACTCTATTGTTAATATTATAAGCTATTAAACCAAATAAATACAAATTTAAATAAATCTATACCTATTTAACATTGTATTAATGTTTATTGTTATATCTTATAAGATATTTTCGATATTTACATGCAGTTGTGTATAAAAGAAATAATTGATTATATTTAGACCTTTAAATAAAAATCAAAATTTAATATTATATATATATTAAAAAAAAACAAAAAAAAAAGATATTATTACTTACTAGTCGCAATATAAAAATATATTTTACAATCATTAGCAGTTATTAAAGAAAAAAAATTTATTGCTCTAATGTAATACTTTGTTGCCACCACATCTTAATGTTTACAAAGTGATTCTGTTAGCCTAACGAGGCAACTACACGTTCTAATTATACTATTGATAATATAGATAAGATCTGCTTTCTTACTTGAAATCTGATATTCATTATTATTAGCCAATTTTTTAATTGAATCTGTATCAATGTTTTTCTATCCTGGACAAAAAAATCTTTTTACAATTTTTATATAATCTAGATGATTATGTTCAAATTTAAGTAACTGATATTTATAAAACCTTTTTATATTTTTTACAATAAATTAAAAAATCTAGACAAGATTAAAATGTTGGAGTTCTTCTAGAAATTATAACTGTAAACAGCCCAGAACTA